TTGCGCAACCTAACGTTTCAGCGCTGGTGTTGGTGAATGTGTGTTGCATGTACCTTCATCTTGATCAAAAGCTGAGTCTCCAACCTCTCAGGCATGTGGATGTTCACATGACATGCGCGATGGAGCGTCGGCGTCGTGGGCACGGAGGAATTCGACAGTTTGGCGCGGATGTTGAACTGATGGTGGAGTTTGTGGGACCACAGCGGGTGATTGACGATTCGACGCTTGAACAGTTGATTTCAATTTTCTGAGGAGAAAGGACAAACAGCTGATTGATACGTCCAGCAGATGTTGAAAGCCTGGGAAGATCAGATTGGGCCTGTCAAGCTCCAACAACTACCAGCAGACAACTCAACCCAGATGGAAGACAAGTCAGAAGTCTTGCATAAGCCAAATAAGATGGCCTTTTCTGAAGCACTGTTCAAATCCTACAGCCATGTCATTGCATCGCTTGAAAAAGACCTTGTGAAATTTGAAGAAGACCATGGGCTGTTGTCTGGTGCTTGAGGAGGAGAAGGTTATGTCAAGAAAGGCGAAAGCTAGTGCTTGGAGACATTCTCAGGTTCAGACTGGTGTGGAAACAAAAGCCACAGAAAGTCAACATCAGGAGGTGCGTTGAATAGTTGTCCATTGTTCAACAGCAGCAGAACCCAGAAGATTGTTTGCCTGTCTTCATGTGAAGCAGAGCTACATGCCATAGTTTCCTCAGCGTCAGATGCAAACTACATCAAAGCAGTTCTGGAATTTCCTTTTGGGACAAAGGTGGACCATCACATCTTCACAGATTCAGCAAGTGCGCGTCAACTTGTGACAAAGAGAGGAGTTCAAAAGTGAGACACTTTGATGGAAAATGGTTATGAGTCCAGAACAGGACACACTTCAAGATGGTACAAGTGCCAACGGACAGCAACATGGCAGACCTCAACAGACAACCACTTGGAGGACAAAGAATCAGACACTTGGTGAACCTGACTGGGTACTGGCACAGTCAAGGCGGAGTGAGAGTACGAGAATATGAGAGGAGGGAATTTCCAAAAACAATTTGCAGGAAAGGTCAACAAGATTGCAAAGATGCTTGTGATGGTGGTGGCATTAGAGGGCTTGCAGCCAGTGGTTACAGCATTCTTCAAAGAGAACATCCATATTGTTAAAAAAACATGAAGTTGGAGGAGAGGAAGGAACCCAAGGGAAACTGGAAATTTTTGATCATGGTGACTATTGCAATCAACATGATTTTCCTTGCGGTAGTAATCTTTGTGGTCTGTAAAATTGCCAAACGTCTTGAATTTAAACTCAAACAGGACAGTGATGAACAATGGGGTCATACAGAAAAACGCTACTATGACAAGTGACAACACACTGATTGGAGAGCAGACAACCTAGAGTTCAGTTTTAAAGAACTTGAGACTGACATCAGGAACATGGAGAGAGATATCAGTCGAATGGATAATGGTGGATCAACACTCTACACAATCACGGCAGAAGAATTCACAGTGGATTGATTCTCAATGGAGGCTTTGCAGAGACAGAAATTCCAAACACACAAGCTATCAGTGTGTATGACTTGTTAAATGCGTGAATGCAGGACTCTACTTATCCAGAAGAAACTTAAAAGAAATGCCGAAAACAACACTATTCTATGAATGGAGCAAACCCAACAGAAAGACATACAGAAGGTTCAGGCCAAGAAGCAGAGAACTATCAGTCAGGCAAGACTATGAAACAGCACAGGCAAACCAACTGTGTGGTAGACTTGAAGCAAAATTGCAGCATTTTTTGAAAAACATTACAACTTGTTGGGAAGAGGACAACCAGAGGCAGCAGATGCAGTTGAAAGAGACATGGATAATTTCCGTGAATTGTTGGATTGCGCAGGAAGGATGAGAGAACATCCAGATGTACCACATGAAGTGACATGAGTAGATCCAGAAGATAAAAACGAAACAAGAAATGAGTGAGAAAAAATGGACTATAGTGGCTTGCAGCAGCTTCTGTGAGTGAACGGGCAAGCAGGAGATAGTCCGGCAACATCAGGAAGAACCAAAGGAAGAGGGTGGGAGGCCCCCCCTTTAACTTGAGTCGGTCCGTGCGCAGGCAGGTTCTCAGATGCTCTTTTGTCAAGCCCTATAGGCCACAGGAAGGGCCATGTCTTCCTCTTCCCACCTTGTTACATGCGGCTATTCCTCCCCACCCAGGACGCTCGTACAGCTAAGCTGAGGACACGTCCTTCCATGTGGCAGGCACGGGCTGCAAACCAGGTTGTGCACCAGTATCTGCAAGAGTTAGTGCGCATGGGGTGGCAAGGATGCAATGGGTTGACGACTTATCCGCAGGGCATCAGACGAGGAACCATGTGACTCATCTCATGGACGAGAGCCCATCGTAGCAAAGTGCAGGGTACCACAGTGCTTGTAAACACTCTGTGTGGAGGTGTCAATTTCAACCCCCCCCGTCATCGTCCTATCCGCAGGGCATCGGACGGAATTTGTACATGAGGGTTAGCTCTCATGTGGACTTAGCAATCCATGGGCCTGCCCATACCCTAGCACATAAAAACAGGCATAATTCTGCAAGATTTAGGACAAAGGATGCTATGGTGCGACGTCTTATCCGCAGGGCATCAGACGAAGACCCATGTGACTCATTTCATGGATGAGGACACTCAGCAGCAAAGGAGCAGGGTACCACAGTTCTTGTGAGCACCCGATGCTAAGGTGCCAGGTGTCAATTCAACCCTCCGTCATCGTCCTATCCACAGGGCATTGGACGGAATTGGTATGTGTCATGAGTGTGTAGATGGGGTTCACATCTAGGGTAGAGTTCCTGGTATTTAACCACGTAGGGCTTAGTGGATCAAAAGGGCACGTAACCTAACACATTTTTACATGTTCCTTACCATTATGGCTGGGTTACACGTGGCAAGTCGTGGGGTAACTCCTAATTCTTGGAGGGTAGTAAAAACTCTTGTGGAAACAAATTGAAACATTGCAATGCCGCAATGTTTTAGTTGCATTGTTTGGGGCACTTCAGCATGGTCCAACTTATTGCAAAATGCACAAATATTTTGCAAAGGACCAAGTGCTAATTGTTTTGCTTGCCCCACGGTGCCAAAACCTCGTTTTCAACCAGCTCTTTGTCATTTTTGTTCACAGTTTGTGCATTTCACTCCTTTTGTTGCATTTTCCCTTTGTTAGTGTGCAGTCTTTGCACCATTTGCTCTGTTGTGCATTTTGGCCAGCAGGGTTACTTTGCATAACCCGTTGACCACCCGGAATGTAGCTGTTTGCTTCTATTGACGTGACTTGGCTGGAATATGGGATAAGATGACTGCTCCAGACACAGGCTTCTACTTCCTGAGTCATTGTTACCGTGATCCCAGCCATCGGCATGAACTTGTTTGCACCCATTTGGATGTTGAACAGGGAAATGAGCTACTACGGGCTCCTGGCCTTACTACTAGGAGCAAGGACGCTACTAGGAGCAAGGGCATCGCTACTAGGGGCTCCTGGCATCGCTACTAGGAGCATTCTTACTATATACTAGGATGTTGGCTGAACTGAGGTTGCCCATGTCGGTGCGGCTGTTCTCGCTGCTCCATGTGTTCCTTCTGCTCGATGGGGCGAATCCGATCTATGCCGCCAATCCGGTCCGAAAGGCCGGTTTTTACTTTTTATTCATTGGTCAGGTTTGTGGCCACCAGTCTGTTGAAGGTCCAGTTTGTGGTCCAGTTTGTTGAGTGTGTGATTTTTGGTCTCTTCAGGTGGTCAACTTGTTGCAGAACATGAAGACCAAGGTCGAGAAAGAAGGGGCTACTTGGCAGAACGGCAGAACGCTAGTTTTTCTGCCTGTTTTTGCTTCGATTCCAGCGGAGCCTGTCAATGTGACAGACTCTTTTGAGGAGACGGAGAAGGAGTTGTACGAGAAGTTTCAGTGCTACTGCAAGAAGAACATTGGTGAAATGGAAGAGAGCCTGAAAGTCAATGAAGCAAAACTTCCGCCTCTACGGAAGAACCTCGTAGCAACTGATGCTCGGACTGAATGACTTGTGCAATCTTCGCTGAGAATCCATCATTTTAGCTGGTGTTATGTGCTTTCAGTCTGGTGGTTGGATTGATTGGGTGGCAGACTGTCTTTTCTTCGCACAGAGCAGAGGTGCAATAGTATTGCCAGCAATTCAGCTCGTTGGTCTCCAATCACCTTCTCAGAAGGTCGTTGGTTTCAATTTCTTCAAGGGTTAGGGCGACCACTTCCAATGTGGTCTTCTTCCAATGTGGTTTTCTTCTCAGGAAGAAGAGCTGAACAAGGTCACCGCGCAAATCCAAACGGCCAAGACGGAACGTCAAGAGGTGGCAAGAGGGTTGTCCGTGGGGATGGGATGAATTTGGATGCATGATTCATCAGCCATCGTTCGTCACGACGCCAAGGACTTTGTTCAAGTTTGGGATGTATCTCATTGCTACTAGGTTGGAGGCCATCAATCACAAGTATGTCGGAGGCCATTGCTATTAGGTAGGAGGCCAGCTATTGCATCATCCACCAAGTTCGGGCTGAGGCGGAGGATGGTGTGGCGCAGGCCGCCGCCCTGCGGCGGGGTGAAGCTGAGAGCTTTCAGAAGACCTCCGAAGAGCAGACAAATGCAATCGAAGCCTGGCGGTTTGGAGATGTGTTTGGAGAGGTGAGCACCCTCCTGACCTGTGGAATGTGTTCGGGAACGTGTTTTTGAAGTTGCAACTTGAATACATCTCTGCCTAGGGAAAGAATGGGGTGAAACGGCCTGCCCCATGCCTTTGCAGTTCAAAGGATTCACATAGCGCTCCTTCACAAGTGCAGTGGTGGTAAGTCAATCTTTCTGAGAATATGGGGAAACACATGACGACCGCGATGCTTTCATGCATGTTTGGGGATGTTTTCTTTTTTTCACAAAACATGGGGGCAAGTGCTTTTGGTTGCCGACATTTAACTTCGGCGCCCAGCGGCCCCAGTTCTCCTTGGAGAAGCGCCTGGATGCCCCGATTTCCCAGGAATCCATCGAGCAAGCCATTGCAGCGTTGACCAAGGGCATGGCCCCTTGGAGTGGAAACGCTGGGACGGCCTGATCTCACACGGCTTTGCACGCGACTCTTTGGAGCACAGAGGAAAGGGGCACACTCTTTCGGAGACACTTGGACATTTGGAAGGTGCACTTTCGGACTACTCTCTTGAACCAGTGAGAAGCACCACTCCGCGACTGAAAAAGAACGCAAACACACTCGAAGTGGGCCAGCGAGGAGCAGACTTGAGAAAGAAGTCTCAAAACAAGTCCACCATGAGACGGTGTAATGACGGTGCAAACGTTGAGGTGCGCTCGAAAACGTCCGAAGACAAGTAAGGGCCAAACAGGTTTTCGAGTTTTCTTTCCTTTCCCTGTGTCATCCCAAACTCGTAATCATGGAAGCAGCTTCCAAATGCTGTCATGTTATATGGTTTACCTTCTGGTGCTATTTGGAAGTTCATGCAGGAGTCAATTTTTCAACTGGTGTCAGTGGCAAGTGGTGGAGGGCATTTTTCCGGAACACCAAGGCTGAGTCCTTTTTGCAGACGGACGCTGCTGAGTCCCTCCGGAGGTTCTGGAAAGAGCCTGCCATGGGGGTGCTTTGGGGAACTTTCATCCATTTAATGCAGAGTTGTCAAAGACTGGGATTTGACCCAGTTTGAAAGACTGGAATTTGACGAGGCCTATATGTATGTAGTTTGAAAGAATGCCTGTATCCAGAGCCTTTTTTCAAATAGCATGCATTAACCTCCCACCCTCTGTCAAGATGTCAGTTGATGCTGTTCGATTTTGAGCTGGCAGATTTGTCGTGTGAAAATGCAGTCAGGGTGATGTCATAAGTACAGAGGGCTTCGAGGGAAAGAGTTGCAGGTTTGCCTTTGACAAGGATGGGCTAGAGGAGATGGAACGCCAGGAGAGGCATGAAGATAGATGGTGAGCATGCGGGACTGGAAACTCTCGATCGACCCGCTGTTTCGGGCTTAGCAGTGCGTTCTGAAGCGCCCTTGGCTTCATTGAGACTGCCAGGACCTTTTAGCTTTTCTGCAGCACGGCAGGGCTCCCAAAAACCAGACAAGGGCTCCCTCAAGCAGAGTTTGCTGAATGTTGGATTGAAAGAGGATGGGTGAAGAATGCCAGAGTCAAAAGAACCGGACATTTGCCACTCCTTTCTGTGCTTACTTTCACTTTGTGAGTCTAACCAATAGGATCATTTTTACCGTGATGTGCCAAAGAAATCTGTGGCACAAGTGCTAAACTAACTCGATTTTCTTGATAAACGATGTTTCTCAGCACTTTCTGACCTTTCGCATGTCCTTATTTCGTTCCAGTAGTGCACGCCACACCCAGTGCCAGGTAGTGACTACGTGCCGCAAAGTGGCCAGGCCTGGACGAGGATTTGCGAGGGGAACCCCCTCCTGATTCAAGAGCCTTTGAACTATGGAGCCTATATAGAGATAGAAGTGGCAAAAGAACACGACTTGGCAATTTTGTGATCACGGAAAGCACAGATCACATCCACAGAAACTGAGTCTAAGACCAGCCAGTGTCATTGGCACATGAATTTCTGGATGCTCATGAAATTTTGGGCATGTGTGACTGGCGACTTGCTAGTAATTACAATTCTAATTAAATTCTTATTGTTACTAGTAGTAAGGCACTTGTTTCTAATAGCTTCTTGTTACTACTAGTAAGGCACCTGTTACTACTAGCATGGCACTTGTTACTAGTAGCTTTCAGTGTTGTGAAGAAGAAAGGGTTTGGTACATCGGTGGTACATCGGTCTTTTGAGACATCGCTCTGAACTCGGTCGCTGGGGCGCCGATGTCTCTCCGCCCAGATCTTGGGGATGCTGAAGCACATGGGCTCCGACACACGGGAGGCCCTGGCAGAGGCCCAAGCCACCGAGGCCAAGGCGGTGCAGGACGGTGTCGAAGTTCCGTGGGACTGGACTTGGCCCGTTTGGCGTGGGGTCGGCTGGCAGCTGGGTGTTTTTTGTATCTGCCCATAGTTGTTCATCGCTCTTGCTTTTTTGTAGATGCGCGAAGCGTTCAGGATGATGCGGTGTTTCTCTTCCAGTTTCTTTTCAAAGTGGGCTGACCGCTCTTCTTCCTGGGCCCGGGCTGGACCGATTCTTGTTGAGCGATTTGGATGCCTTGAACACCGTTGAATGGCGACTTTGGAGGAGTTCAAAGAGCTCTCAGCTGCAAAGAGCAAGGAGATCAAGGCAGTTTTTTTTCATCTTAATTTTTGAACGTTTTAATTGATGGAACACCAATATTGTCAAGAACGGGCCTGCAACATGTGGCGTGCTAGTGGTGTGAATCCATGCAGGAAGTCCCGAAAAATAGTTTTCGGTGTCAGGGGTTGGTCTGGTTGGGCTCCCAGCTTTTTAGGGAGGAGGCTCCAAAGGTGCGCCAGGATATCTTCTTATGTGAGGGTCCTGAAGCACCAGTAGGTGCTGAGTCACAAAGGATCTTTGAGACGCTGAACTAGTAAGAATATACGTGCAACTGCAAGAGTAAGCAAGAATGCAAACTCTCGTGGCTGCAGTAGCAGAATGTTCTGGAAGTCGGAGACAGGCATGACCCCACTGGATGATTTCGCTCTCCAGCAGTCCAGTTCATTTATGGTGAGGGGTTTCCTTCAGGCGTTGACCACAACCATCGAAGAGAAGGTCGAAGATCAGGGGGAGCTCAAAGTGGTCTGGAGCCCGGGAAAGACATCATCGAACCGGGTCATGAACCAAAGATCGACAGCTTCAAGCCAAGAACCCACAGATGCAAGGTCCGACAAAGTGCTTGGGAAAGATATCAACAGAGACCTGGTCCAAGGGCTTGGAATCACTTCTAGGCGTCGGAACTCGTTTCACTCTCCACAAGTCGTTTGGTGGAAAACGGCAGGTGTCCAGGAAGATGGGAGGTGTGCCGTTCGTTTTGTATTTTCGTCCGACTCCGGGAGGTTTCAGACTGAAACGACTTGGCATTCGTTGGGTGATCCGTTCTCCCACATTTCTTTTGTTCGTATGTGTTAGGGGAGGCCCCTAGGACCTAGTGACCGTCTGTAGAAGCCAAGTGATTGGTGCTGTCATGCTTCTCCGCTGAAATTTGGGCTTCGAAGCCATGGCCACGGCAGCTGCAGTCGAATTTCGATCCGGGCCGCTGCACGTCGTCGATGCCGTGGACGCGGTGCCAGCGACCATCGTCACGCGGCAACGGCGCGTTGTGGGGCAATCTCCTCAGAACACACAAGACGTCTGGGGCCTGGGGATCCCATTGTGCCTCAGATTGGCTGTCACGAACGACAAATGAATGAGTGACATTTTGCTGTTTTTATACTTACTTTTGCTCAATAGAGACCATTCCTGCTGGGGGGGTGCCAAGATGAAGACTCTGGCGGACTCTTTTCTTATCATTCTTTGAAGAGTTCAAGCTCAACTTGTCCTGTGCTTCCTATCCCACTCTGAGGCACAGTGAAGGGATTGCGCCAAGACTTGCTCCAAAAGGGTCCAGAGGTGCCTGTGGCCCGTCAGCTGCCGCCTACGATGCAGGAGGTCCAGCCACCACCCATCATGCAAGAAAAATCTTCGACCCGCCTCGAAGTGCATCCGAGCCCCTCTTTGCCGTCCCTCGACTCTGTCCACCAACCAGCCCCCTCACAAGAGATCCAGGTCTTTGCGGACCGACAGCCAGCGACCTTCCAAGACTTCCTAGCCCAACAGCCAACATCACAAGAGGTCAGGAGGGTAATACATGAGCAAGGGCCTGTCGCCCAAGACACGCTGGTGGTTTATCAGCCACCCCTGCTCGATAGCACGCCAAGTTTCCATCATCCCACATCCTCCATCCAGGAATTCAGGAGGGTGGTGTATGAGCCGAGGTCCTCAGTCCGAGACATCCGGGTTGTTTGTGAGCCTTCGCCAACCCTGGCCCCTGAAAGCCTTCCAACATTGCATCAGCCAACACCTTCCATTGAGGAGATAAGGAGAATAGCGCATGAGCCAGGGCCTCTGGCCAAAGACGCCTGGGTATCCAGTGTCGATATTTCAGTGGCCCATCAGTCACCACCTCCGATCCAAGAGGTGAAAAGGATACTGCATGAGCCAGAGCCTCTAGCTCACCGCATCCATGTGGTTCATGAGGCGCCCATTGTCCACGACATTCCGGTGGAACACCATCAACCACTCGGGAGAGTGGACTCGGGGCCTGTTGCCCAAGTGCGCCACCCATCACCCATCCGGGAAACCTTCCACTGTTGCACCAGCCAGGACCTTTCGTCCAAGAGGTCAGGAGGGTAGTGAATGAGCCTGGGCCTTTCGCCCAAGACATGCAGGATGTTCGTGAATCCTCACCTGTCCATCAAGACATCCCGATCTTAGAGAAGTCCCACAGCTACAAGGTCTTCGGTGATTTGTGGGGCAGATTAAGTGGGAGTCACTTGCCCAGGAGTCAATCATAGCGAGCGTTTTCAATTTTTGTATTTGCTTGCTGTACCGAACAGCAGCACGTGTGGCTACATATTGCACACCCCTGAAATAGTCAAGAGTGTTGCTGCCAGGGTTGCTCAGCTGAGTAGTGGCAATGAACTGAGCTGCCTCTTGATTGCTGTGCATCCCAAGCTTGTTGAGAATTATACTTCCACCAGAGATACGACAAGCCTTTGAGAGGAACATCAGATCCCAAATGCAGATGGTAGGTTTGGCAAAACCTCACATCCCATAAGAACTCTCCACCAAATTCCTAGAAACACATCCAATGAAGCACCGCGTCCCCAATCCGAATGACAAAGATGAAACTTGCTTATTTGGGTAATCGGGTAATCCCCACCCCGGCCGACCCCTTAGAGGTGAGTTGGAAGAAAAGGACATATTCTGGGAAGCGACCTGACAATTGCCTGACATACTGTATATATATATATATATTTATACTGATATATTTACTGGCATTTCATTTGCCATTTGCACCCTCTTGCATCCTGATATACACTCTGACATTTCTAGCGGCGTGTGCTCTGATTTGTGCACTGACATTCAAATTCGAGATGACATATTTGGCAGATGATATTGGCACAAGGTCCAGTGCCCCACATCCCTTTTGCTGCCTCACCTGACAGGGGTATTTTGTTCACGACACATGACTGTTTTCGAGGCCATGAAGCTACTAGGAACAAGTGCATCGCTTCTGGTAACAAGTGCCTTACGCTAGTAGAAACAAGTGCCACGCTAGTAGTAACAGGTGCCTTACTAGTAGTAACAATGTTTGCTACTAGGAACAAGTGCCTTACTACACATGCTGTGTGCCAGACTCTTTGTGATTCTGCCCTCCTTGTGCGTCTACGAAAGATGTGTTGTCCCTGGGGTCAATGGGGATCAAGCCGGGCTACACTATGTGTTGGAGTCTCGCTAAACGCTGTGGTGCTAGTGATTGTGCTCTGGCCTTTTTGGACATAAGCATTGTCACAAGCAAGCGGATCCTGCTTTTCTCAGTTTGTGGAGATTTGGGTTGAACTTTCTGCTGCCCACAGCAGTAAACAGAGCCCGCCACATGCTGAGGTAAAAAGGCGGTCTTTCCAAGTGGACGCGATTGGCCTGAAGTCCGAGTGAACCCCTTCTGTGACTACCTGGAGTGTGATCCTCAAAGGACGGGATTTGCTGGTGTTGGGGTGACCGGCTTAGGTTACCTGGTCCGTTTGTGAAGCCACTCCGGAAGAGAGTGGACGAAGGACTTCCGGCCAAGACCCTGAGATGACCCCAAACAATGCCCGGCCAAAGGGGTGTGAACGTCTCAGCAACCCCCCCGGGTGACCCTCGCAACGAACGGTTTACGCACCGCGCCCCGACGCACCGCGAGGCCTTGCTGTTGGGTCGGACCGGGCGTTGCGGACCTGCTCGGTGCCTTGTCGCCGTTGCGACGCACAGCAACTTGGAAGCCGAGTTCGGTGGACAGTGGATGGACCAGATAGTGGTTTTGGTGTTTGAGCCTTTGAGTTTCTTTACTCTCCCTGGAACTAACATGAAAGTGGAAAACCACCTGTTTGTAGTGGATTGCATGGTCTTCCTTTCGGGGCCATTCTAACCTCCGAAATGAATGTGATGCAGGCAGTCTCTGTTGCAAAGCGACCTGAATAAGTCCAACCCAAGACTGGTATCACAATGCTTTGGAGAACATTGAAAGGCCATTCTAACTGCAGCGGGTTCTGCAACCAAATTCTAGAAACATGAGAAGCAGAGCAGGTTCATCAGCGACCCATACAGAAAGAGCAACCTCTTGCTCATAAAGGCCTCACGCACACGCCTTTTGCCTGGAGCCAACTATTGGTGGGCCTAGTCTGCTGAAATCCTGCATAACGTTGGATCCCCAGGCTGAGGGCGGAGGCTTCATCAGCCAGATCCAAATCATTAGAGATCGGATCCAGGCCACTTCAAGCCACCCTACATCATCCAGACTTCCAGCCAAGCACCTTACAGAAATCTGCTGGACCTCGCGCGGTGTTCGCATTTTCCTTGGCCTCAAATGGGAGCATACAACGAACTGTTCGTCCAAAAAGACTCTGACAAGTTGCTGTTGCTCGTGATTCATGACCCCCTTTGATGTGGAACACCAAGAAGGCCAACTGCACTGGTCAATAACATGCGGGATTTGCACCGGTCACATGGGCAACAGCAAACCTTTGAGGGGGATGATAGCTTCTTTGCACATTGAGATTGCGGAGGGTCCTCATGCTCGCCATGTAAGATGGCATCCAACCATAATGAAAAGACATCCATGAACACACCCCGTGTAGTGCACCACAAGACTAATTATAGTCAAACGCAGTTTGGATTGGACATACACTTGTGACTTGTGTATATAGCCACTCACAGGCAATGATATGTCATCACAGTGGGGCTCCCAAAGATAACCACGTCTTAAAACATGCTGCGACTGTTTGCGCATGTTTGGCATCATCAGCTAATCAATCTTGTTTTAATGAGGCCTATGTTGAGTTTACTATGTGTTTTTTGGTCTCTCTCGAAATATTGAACAACATAGGACTTCGTAGCGCAAAAAGGCACCCTCCAGATTATCTTTATGGTGCTTGCCAAGCAATCCTCACGCGTCATGCATATCTGCTCGAAACACCTCAGCGCGCTTGGCGCGGGCGGATCTTTGGCCATTGCTTGAGGTGGAGGAAGGGTCCTGACTCTTGCGTTGGTGCGAAGGCGGCTGCAACTGTGCCAACTGAAGGGATTGGCCACACATGGGCAGAAGCAGTCAGGTGAAACGCAAAACGCGTACCATGTACAGCTTCAAGACCAAAAGGTCCCCTGTCGCATCGCCTTTTCGATGCGGGCAAACAAAACATCGTTCGGTGCACCCAACCGCCAAGTATTTGTTGGACCTTTGGATTATTTTGTTGTCCCCGAAACGAGGTACCTGAAGCAGTCAGCGGCAATTTCTTGAAAGTGCCCGGTTTGAGTGCCAACTGCAATGGCCTATGGCCGTCTTCTAAAGTCCTTTTCTCCAGCTGTTGCACAACACTGGACCTTAACCATGCCAGATCAGGGTGATGACCTTGGTAGAGACTGGTGATTCTAGTTGCTCAATGGTTCGGACATCCTGTGGGAGATTTGGAAAGCGGCCAGGTGGAGCGCTTTGCTAAACCATTTGTTGTCTTCCAATCAGTGACGTGAGACATGGTTGAGTTTGGGACAGAAAAGAGGAC